AGTATCTCAAAAATGTCTGGGGTTTATAAGTAATGGAGATAAGTAATTAAGTATTGCATATTTTATTTTGCATTGTTATTGAAATTTTGAATGAGTGTTATTCCTTATTTGTCGCGTTTTGAAAAAGTTTATTTTTTGAGAGACCTGTGTATTATACAATTTAGTTTTTCTTCGCATTTAAATAACAAGACAAACTACTGAATTAGTCTGATTGATTTGAGGATGTTTATCTACAGTAGAACTGCATTTATTATATAGTCTGAATGCTTTATAAAGAATTCATTTTCAATTCCGCGAAAAATGATAAAAACATAGATATCACATGGTCAACAAAAAAGTTATTGTGTATTTGCGAGTATATACTGTTTTGCACTGTTATGATGTTTCCAAGTTTGAAGTAGTTTAAAAATTCAGACTTTCATTTTATTGTTATTTCTAATTGCTATTGCTACTATAATTGTAGCTGAAGTTCCTTGAACACTTTTATTTGATCCTTGATCTCATTATTAGTGTGTTTTATATGGCAGATATGATGTTTGAATGGAGTCTGCGTTTATGTTTTCATTTCACATAGGATGATCAAATGTGTGTCTGTTTACATGTTTGTTTTTGTTTTGATACTACTTTAATGTAAATATAACATTCAAACTTTCATTTTGCTTATTTACATAATTATGTGTTTATTTACCTATGATACTTTTAAATATATTTTAATTCACTTTGCCACAGTTCTCTTAAATTAATATACTAGAAACGATTTCTTATGTAAAATATGCAATTTTGGAACACGCATTTTGTTAATCACATAGATTTTTTTATTAGTAACAACTTCATTTTATATTAAATTTAATTTTTTATCATCATCAATGTCTGTCGAAAAATACGAGTGCATTTATTCTATGCTAACCAGTAAAATACTGGGTGTTGCCAATGATATAACACCAATATTACTAATAGTATTCAATTAACTCACATTGTCAATGTTAAAGCTATGCCAAACTTATATTATGGGGTGCGCTTGAATTTGTATAATTCCTTAATTTCTAAGTTTACATTAAGTTAACATAAATTGTTGCATTTTGCTCTATATGGTATGTGCGTAAGAATGAAAATGAAAAAATCGTTGCGCACTAATTTTATGTTTTAGACCAGCAATGTGGTGATACCACATGACCATATACATGGACCTTTTTACCTCTGAGAAATGGAAACGAGGTTAAAAGATTAATATGATGATGATTTCTGTTGGAAAATCACGTGGTACAAACGCTCCGAGTTCATTGGTTCTAGATTATACGTTTTGAAAGAAAATATTTTTACAATGTTCAGACTAAATTAGTACGAAGACAATAAAGACAGATTTTGTATAAAACATTGTTTTTACACACGCTTTAAATCGTCTTCATTTACTATCTCCTATTCAGCGTTAGTATTAACTACACACGCACGCACACAGACATGCACGGACGAATGTAAAAGAAGATTGTTAAGGTTTTATTACTTCAGAAAGACAAATAGCAAGCTTAATTGCAATTCTATGCATGTACGAGTTATCTCGCATGGATCAGTACAAAATTAAAGTTTTCAGTCAACAGGACTGGCACATTTGATTTTGACCTACTTGTCCGTTTTCATGTGAAGCATTTTTAACTTATCCGTATGATATTTATATGAGCCGCGTCACGACAAAACCAACATAATGGGTTTGCGACCAGCATGGATCCAGACCAGCCTACGCATCCGCGCAGTCTGATCAGGATCCATGCTGTTCCCTTACATACCCTATAACAAGTAAAGAAACTGATAGCGAACATCATGGATCCTGATCAGACTGCGCGGATGCGTAGGCTGGTCTGGATCCATGCTGGTCGTAAACGCACAATGTTGGCTTTGTCGTGACGCGGCTCATATAGTAAATTCTTGAAATTTTTTACTTGTCCGTACAGGCTGTGGGACAACCTGGGCAATACGGACACTTGATTTTGTCAGTCCTGGTCCAGGGTGAAATCTCTAACATACAAACTAGGATCTCAGGTTTTTGATTTACCAGAAACTGCCACATGATGTTCAGTGACCAATGAAATTCCACAGTCACTGCCGGGATTCGAACCCACAGCAATTTGGGGCATGTGGCTTGAAGTCAACAAACTAAACGACTCGGCCACATTGTAAAGTCTCGAAATGTATAAAATTACTTAGTTAAAATTTATAATTAATTATTTTGTCCCGATTTTTAGTCGCCATGTTTGATAACATAATCCATGTATGACATTTTGCTTCTATTCGACATTATTCCTAATATTAATGGCTTGAAATTATTGACTGTGCCATATTTAAATTTTGTTATAATGAGGATATTAATTTCTCCCTTATTTTGGTAAAAAACAACAACAGCAACAACAACGACAAAAGAAATCATAAACCGGTTGCTAAGTGACAGACTTTAAAATAAAACAACTCATTCTAACACTTAAAATGACGATTTCGGGAAAGGACTTTTATCTCAGAAAAACAACATTCTTTTCTCAATATAACTTTATTTCATGTTCTCGTTTAATTATACATTTAAATAATTAATCAATGTTATCACATTCTTTATTATTTATTATAGTCTCATCTATACACATATATACATATAAAACATTTAAAACATTAAAATTGTATATAGCCATTCTCGAAAGAATTACAAGAGACTTGTTATAGCTAATACTAAGAGGGATAACTCCACAATCCATATTATAGAAATGTATAATATGATTGTAGATTTACCTCCCTTATTTATGTATATTCACATTCTCAACATTTACATCATATAAATCAATTGCAATAGGATGACATAATTGCACATTGTCATTATTAAAAAGTTATTTGAGACATTTAATTACTAAATTATAATAGACTTTTTACATTCTAAAAGTTTGATAACCTCTACTGACCTTGTCTTAAAAACTTCCATAAGAAATTATATTGTAAAATACTAAATATTGTAATAAAAGCACTATCAAGCAATATAAAAAATGGTTTTACAAAATCATTTGTCACTCATGTTAAGACAATGGATAAACTGTTCAGTAGTGATTATCAAAACATAGGGATAAAACTTATTTATGAATTAAAATATATCATATTCTATATTAAAATTTCTATGTGTTTAAAATTATATTAACTGTTCACTCCAGGCAGGAGGTGAGATACAGACATAACATCACATTCTTGTTTATGAATTAAGAAATGTTCTAAAGACTAACACTTATTTAACAAATAAAAATAGAATTGTCAGTGAAACAAATATACTAAACTGTCAGTATCTGTATGTATACACCATCTCCCTACATAGAATGAGATGATATAACTTTGCTTTACACTATATTACGCTACTAATACTTATAATAAAAATGATATATGAGCAATCCTGAAAATGTAGTCTGTTAAACTACTTATATAAATGATTGTTTCTGGCTTTTAAAATCAAAAAGCACGTTTTGGAACTTTACTTTTAACATATGTTCATTTGAGAGTACAAAGTTTAATTTATCCTGATCACATAAATTGTTAAATGAGGCATCAATCTCAATAGCTTTATTAACAATATCATTTCTGAGACTCTGATACAATGGGCAATGAAATAAAAACATGAACTTCATTTTCCACTGCAAGTTCACAAATCGGACATAGACGTTTGTTCTTCTGGGATATTTTCATATCTCCCCGTTTCTAAACGGAGGGGGGCAACTCCACATCTAAACTTAGCTAATGCACACTTGTATTTTACTAGACAAAGTTGAACATTCAACATACTTTTCAGTTTCATAAATAGATTTAAACTGCGTATAAGTCCTAAGTTTATTTCTGCCTCTACCAGAGGGACCCGTGACATTTTGAATACTGGTTCCTCCAATCATGAATGAAGGTAATCCATGGTACACTTACTTATCTTATCACAAAAATATTTGGAAGACATGTTAATACAATCGTTAGACAAATTCAATAAATTGTTTGACAATAGATGTTTCTTATACAGAAATTGCCAATTTTTGCAACTATTATTACTCTTACTGTCACAAAATCTAAAAATCTTGAAATTAATTCTCTCACTATCCATTGACTTTACTCTATGCCAGTGTTGAGACACAGATCTCCACTGTTTCACATGAGGGGGTTGCCAACCTAACTCACCATAAATGGCATTAATAGGGGTATATTTACCTAGCCCAGAAAGAATCTCATTGCTCGACTCTGCACTGCATTTATGCAAGAATAGGATCTTGTTCCCCAAATAGATGCCCCATATGCAATAACAGGCCATACTGTACTATCGTAAAGTTTTGTGAATGCCTTATATGGCATGCCACCATAGGACTTGGACTTAGCTATAAGGAGACCAAGGGCTCTACCAGCACTCTGAGCAACAGATTTCACCATGATATTAAAATCAAGCATCTCGGTCAGTAACAGACCTAGGTAAGTGTAGTTGGCAACAACTTTCAGACTGTGGTCCCCACATGTGAAACTGTATGAAGTTCTGGGAACAGAAACAGGCCTAAAATGCATGATATTACTCTTCATAGGATTCACAATCATAGTATTCCTGTTACACCAATTATTTAACATATCTAACATAAACTGTAAATCTTCTGCGTTTTCAGCTATAAGTACAATATCGTCTGCATATAAAAGGATGCATAGTTTTTCATTATCAATACAAATACCCTTTCCTGCTGCTTTTATAGATACTGCCAGATCATTTACGAATAAATTAAATAACAAGGGTGATAAAGAGCAGCCCTGTCTTAAGCCACATTTAACATCAAACCAATCTGTATAAAAACCGTTAACCCTAACACAAGATGTAACTTGACTATATAGAGATTTCATAGCATTCATCATTTTTCCATTAACACCAATTTCCGAATTCATCAATTTGTCCCATAAAATAGTCCTATTTATAAAATCATAGGCTTTTTTGAAATCAATAAATGCACAAAAAGTAGATGTCACATGTCATAAATAAAAGTGATAATAAACAGAAAACATTTATATTCTGCCAACATGGCACCGTGGCAGAGTCTGAACTATACAGTATGTGTATACTACATAAAAATGCGTGGTATATTCATAATAATGCACAGCAAGAAACGATCAGAGGTCATTTAAATGGCAAACGGACTCATTTAGTGTATCAACACTAAACATTCGTCGGCATGTATTCACTTTCACGCATGGGCATACAAATCTAGACATCTGGAAACAAAAGACATTGCGAAGGATAATAATATACAATATTTTAAAGCAGTTGGGGATGTTGTTCCTTCAATATATAAGGCTTATATTTTAACAGCATTTATTATTCAGTTCATCATTTCAAAACATATAAATAAATTAACATATAAAACGGTTGCAACAATTAAAGCTCCTTTACATACATTTTCACGAGGTCAAACATATTTGGCTTCAAATAAGTTCAAATTTGTTTCAAGCCCTTGACATCGTGGGGCTCACAGCGGATAAAGCTTGTTCAAATAATTTAGCATCAATATTTCCCTTTTTGCTATTTATAAGACTTGTTAGTTTCGTTTCTATTCTTGACTGAATATCACTGATGCTCGTGCGATCTGCCACAAATGGTCTTTGTGGGGGCTGTGGCCTATCCCTTGGCCAGAGAGGCTCCCAAATCCAACCACAAGATTCCACTTTTATTTCATATTTCCTCGGGCACGGGTTGCCACATTGGTTCGAGCCAGAACTTGTGCAAATACGGTACCGAAGCCTCCAGTTCCCAAAACAAGGGGTAGTTTGCCAAGCCGACCAGCCTCCGCCAGATTGACAATTCGTTCCCCAGTTTGAAAAGTCAATGTCCTTCATGGTGCGACAGTTAACGATTGGATTTCTGTAAAAAAAAGTGTATTTATTTTATTACTATATCTTCGTATAGTTTTTATTATTTTAGTTAACCTAAAGACAAAAGGCATTGTTGAAAGGGTTAATGTATTGAAATGACTTTGTTTTAAAGGGAGACAACTATACACAATAATTTCAATTTATCTACCCTTGTGTTCCTTTCAGAGTAGCGAAGACGGTCCTCAAAGGGCGATTAACAAATGTGATTTATCGGAATGACATAATCCCCCGCTTACCTCCCTTTTCACCCAAGTAAAACTGACATATTAATTAATGTAATTGTCATTATCATTAAAGTTCATTAATTCACTACTGTTGCGGTATAATTAACTTTACGAGTAACATGGCATGCTCTTGGCAACAACCTGACCTGTTACAGAAATATATTTTTAAGGGTCCAGTGAAATCAGACATTTATTGCGTAAACCATGTAAGTTGTTAGCTCTACTAAAATCTTGACTCTTTTTCTTGTCTTAAAATCTTATACATTTTTTTTCTAGAAATATTTTGGTTCAGCTTTAGGCATGCAGCTTTAACTGACAATGTTAAGGTCATAATAGCGTCTTCAAAGCTTTATCTGAGAAAAAATATGAGAGACCACGGGTTTTATTAGACATGAAAAGACACTGGTTAAAGCGCTGACCTTCCCCAAGGTATCCTGTTAAATATTATGCCGAAATGAATTTTGAATATCACTGGTATTTTACTAACTTACCCTAACTAATTATGTCATAGTGACACTGCGTTTACAATTAAAACTATTGTAAATGAAGTAATCAATTTCTTTGAAACGAAGGCAATGCATAACGTGTTTAATTCATCTGAGAATGTTTAAGAAATAAAGAAGTACAAAACGAGATAATTATACAGAAATATATGCTTAATCAGGGGATATGAGCAACATTTGCATTTCATTATGATTCACAGTTCCTTGAATTTTGATACACGGTCCATTACCATTATGTTAAAGAAGGTGTTTTTAATTCGTGCGCACTAATTTAAAACTAAATATATTTTAATATATAATGGTGTCAAAGGTTAGACATTCATTGCTTAATGATATCTATTATAATACTAGGAAAAGTATTATGATTCAAACTTTTAATTTTATACAATAACAACTTTGATAACCTATCCATCATGTTACACTAACCACAGCTGATTGTTTAATAATTATGTATAGCTAATTGTAAATCAAATAAACACATTTTGTGAAAACAACATGTCAGGTGGTTGGTATTTTGCTCTTTAATTGACAACCATAAAACTTTAGAAGGCAAGAAAAAAGAAACAACAACAAGAAACGTTGAAATGAAATATATGACAAAACAGAAATGTACAAAAAAAGACACTAAGACACTGCGAAATCAGTCAATTGGTAAGCGTCCTATTTTGTGGACTTCACGTGATTCTGTGAATTTGCTGCATTAAAAGCGCACGCTGCAGATACTTGCATTCAAAATTTGATACTGACAGGTTGGCCCTTTTTTATATACCAGCTAAGCTCAGTTAAGCTAAATACCAAAAGAATTTCATTCTCCAAAAGAACTTCGAAACCGTTCAAGCAGTATTTAATTACTTTTTAAACAACACTTATATGCAACGCGTGATTTCATCGGCTGTCGAGTTCAAATTCGCCTTGTTAAAACCTTAGACCGAACAAGAATAAGTGAGAATTTTAAAATAAGCCAAAATATTTATTACCTTTCTTCACTTTTTACATTTTTTTCATAGATTTAGTTAAAATATTATTGACAAGTATTGAAAAGTTCATTGAGTTTAAATGACGTAAAATATATAATGTCAATATAAAACATCCTTTACAGCCATTAAACATAATGTTGAAACTTTTGGTAGAACAAAAACAAGTTCATTTCAACAGAAAGACTTACCCTGAAATTACATCTTTAAATGCGTTTCTTTGAAGATGAGGTATACCCGTGTTTCTGCACATCACTTTTGACATTGTAGTTCCCCGAATTTCTCTTAATTGTTCTGAAATATTAGTCCAAACTTAAATAACTGACAAAAAAATGGATATACTCGTTTTACAATAAAGTAAACAAAATAAGTGCTATTTTCAGTTATATAACGGCGTAACAATTGAATACCAACGAAAACAGCCGCCCACGATGTAATAAAACTGTTTTTGAGTCCTGTTTTAAATCTCAGAGATTTCATTGGTCGAGGTACATTCTACGGCAGTTTCTGACCAATGAAATACCAGAGATCTGAGTTTAAGCTTAGATAATGTCTTTATAACTTCAGACCCCGGTGAAATATAAAATTATTTGAATGGAGTTATTGACGTCATAACAATGCTTATTTATTTCATATTTCAAATTGTGAAGTAATAAATATATATCATCAAATTCACATTTCAGTCATATAAAAGCTCAAGGCTTACACAGGTTAGATATTACACTTCATATTTATTATTATATAATGAATGTGATATATAAACGACATGATCTAATTAAAGGTACACGACCAGAAAAGTATATGTACGACTACTGTACACATCATAATAATATTTCACTAGAATAAGACTGTATCATATTATTTCAAAACATTGCCCAATGATATAAAACTCCAAAAAAAGAGTTCCAAACGCGCATGCGTTATTTTATATACGAAAGAAAGTAGTTCTACCTGGTGTAAACTTTCCAACTTCATCATGCTCGTAGTAGAACCTGTCTCCGTTTTTCAACGACCGGAATTGTTCGCCAATCATACAAGCGAAAGTTGGACCTACTTTTCCTCCTGGAACTGCTGTTTCAGAAACACCGGCAGTAAACAGGTCCATGTCGTCTGGGTTACTGTACAAACAATTTTTCAACGTTATTCATTTGGTACACAATATTAGTTCAAGCGTCTGGTTCACTTAGCTAAATAATACATGTACCTTAATAGTGCAAAAGTTAGGAAATTAATACTATCGAATTTCGCTACACGTGATCTGTAATATCTTTTAAAAAATATTGAATAAAAATCTACAGTTAAATTGAAGTATAATTATTTTCTTCTTCTTCTTCTTATTCATCATCATCATCATCATCATCATCATCATCATCCTCATCATCATCATCATCATTATCATTATCATCATCATTTATATTTTATTATTGTTCCTTGTTTAAATATATATTTTTCAACGGATGTTTACTTAAACACCTACCAAACTAATTCCATATCACTTTATCAGTATATAAATTAATAATAGGTCCTATACATATAATATTACCTATAAATCTGTTGCAAGTTGCTTCGAACATGGTATGCATGCGAATACTGTCCGGACAGTCCACAATGACGTCGCCATTTCTGATAACTCGGTATACCATGGTCCCGTGCTCTTTGTATGTTGGTGGCTGCAAGGTCACCTCCGAAACCTGGTCGTCTCTCGAACAGATGTCTAAAACATGCAAACAAGAATCTTGAAAAAATATAACTAATTTACTTCCTTTCTGTTGCATTAAATAAAAGGCGAATGAATACACTCTTATTACGAAAATATAACCAAAACCAGGCCGTTACAAGTCGGCATATTTCGGTTATTTCCGTTATCTAGTTACATTTCGAAATTTCCAAAAAGCGACTGCATGTCAAGTATTGACCAACAAGCATCTTATTATGTGGACGCTTTAGTTACTAAGTATTAATATATTATAAAAATAAATATTAATTTTAATTTCAATATTTATTGAAGGGCTCAACTAATGTCATAAAATAAGTAATTATATACCATGATCACGTGACCTTTCTGCATACTTTTAAGTCACGAGACTTAGTCGAGCTAGGTTTAAATAAACTTTTAATAAAAGTACTTCCTATCCATAATGTAACATAAGAAATAATCTGAATTTTGCATCAAGCTGTATGTGGAATATTTATCACTTTGAGAATTTACTACAAAGATCAAAAACATACCTCGTGACTTGTGCTGAGATGTACTTATCGACATCTTCAGCCTTGGATCTCGTTAATCCCCGTGTAATCTCATCAACACCTTTTGTGTAAACGAGATCTGGTTTCAAAAATGTATCCTGAAAATGGAAGGTAACTTTCTATTAAAATATCAAATAAAAGTACGTAAATTACCTAGTTAAGAGTTTAGTAATTATATGCAATTATGTGAAGACTAGCATGACAATATAGAAGTCATAGGCCTGAAAGGGTGAAGCCATATAATTTACAAGTGGGATAAATTATTGATATGAAAGGGCGAAGGGTGGCACAATTATCAAAATGTGAATGTATATTTTTTACACGTGGCGTATATCTGAAACGGCAAAGGCATATAATTTACAAATAGCACAAATAGAAGGGTTAATTAAGGCATATATTTTCCAGGTGGCACAATTATGAAATGGTTAAGGCATATAATTTACAAATTTCACAATTATAAAAGGGTAAACATATAATTTGAGGCACCATAGCTATTTGATCTTAAGCAATGTGAAATATGAACCTCATTAAACCTATTATATACACTATTCTCTATTGATCTATTATGGTAAACAAAGAATATTTAAGCGTATCCGGATGGTTCTTACCTTTAATAAACTATTAGATGTTTGAAGGAAGCCATTATGTGTGGGTAAATGATCGGAAATCATACTGTGTCCGAAACGGTAGGCCGCCGCCATGAAACCATTCCTAATCATTGGTTTTTCCCTCGGATTGTAACCTATAAATGCAATATACAAACGTTATATTTAGTAATTGTTTTTATGTTCTTTTTTTAAATAAAGAAAAAAAGTGAATTAACAAACAAAACAACAACTACCCTAACAACAACACTTCACCCACCAACGCGCACCCCCACAAAAAATAAATAAATAGATAAATAATAATAATAATAAAAAGCTCTTGCAACATATATATCACTTTCCAGTCCGCATCCTGGAACCAACCAGTACTGGTGCCATATGAAGAAACATGGCTGTGACCCAATTAGGGCTCAAACCAATGATCCCTGGGTTGACAGGCAGACAGCAGAACTACTGGGCAACCGCTCTTCTTATTTATGACATCGATATCGTTTAAAGTCATGTCAGCTTTTAAAAAGAACTTGTCGATAGGTTAATAAAAATACTGATGTGTTGGCATAGCAAAGACGATTTTTGTTTTTTTTTTATTATTTTTTTTCATCACTCATTAATTTTAGAATGGATTCACCCAATCCGTCTTCCATTGTTTTTATAGTTTAAGTTTAAGTTTTACAGTATGAACAGAATGTGTACCATAAAACTGATGTATTTGTTAAAAAAAAGATTTATGTAATTATTCAAAATTAAAACCAAAGGATACAATTTATCTTACAACGTGAAGTACATTATTTTATGGAAATGAATAAGAACAAAAGACTTATAAAAGATTACAAATAAAGCACTCCGTGAAAAAATCATCTTATAAAAAAAATATTATCTTAAAATGTACTTCTACAACATTAAACCTTAAAATTGAGTTTTCCTGCTTAAGGTGATTTTTCTAGGATATTGAAATGCCCTACACATAAAAATGATCTTGTAACGTGCTTTAAAAAGATAATACGAATACTCTTCTTTTAAAGTGTACAATTAGTGTGCGTATATGTCGCAATGATGACGTAATGTCTTCTAACTCAAAGTGGTGAGGGGCAGGTAGATTGACACTAGCTTCAATTTTTTAAAGTACGCAAAGCAATATACTTATAGCCGGAGTATTATATGCACCTAACATGACGCGTAGTTGCCTACTATACTTAAATCATTTTTTTACATTAAAATAAACACATGTAACATTAAAAGTGTATTCGGCTATCATCGAAAGTATGCAATATCATAAATATTGATGCTGATAGAATTTAAGTATGATAACAAACCATTAAAGAGTTATATATCGATGTTGATATTAAAATGTTCTACAACAATACGTTAGTAATTCATCATATCATGTCATATTATATCATGTAGAACTAGATAAACACTTTTTTCTTCAAGACATACTTAGTGTACAGATATTTACTCAATGTTTATTGTAATTTAATACCACCAGCTAACTTAATTGTATCATGAATAAACATGTTGCGACATTGAATGGTAGTGTTGCGATATTTAACGGCAAGGGAAAATCGTTCAACATTTAATCTTATCATTGCGACATTAAACAGCATATGATTTTGCGACATTTAGCGGCGTTGCGACATACAACGGCGCTAATCGGTTTTTACATAAAAAACATATAGTGAACGGACCGGTAAATTACTAGATCACTAACCTATACAAAAAATGGTGACAACACATTGTTTTCAGAAAAAATACTTATTATTATACCACTATTTACTAATCGTTCATTATAAATCTTCTTTATAGTGACGTATATTCGAATATAAAAGTATCAAGCTGAAGGATCAAACATTTTTAATGTATGAGTGAATGCTAAAATGCTAAAAAAAACGAGATGAATGACATATCACGTGGTACACTATGCAAATGCATTAAGGTCATTCAACCAAGTGAATGAACATGGAATGATAATGACATAATTTTAAGTGAACTGAGATTTCAGTCAAATTTTACATGGTTTTTGTTTAAAGGCCCATTATGCCTCAGAAATGCTTTCATTTTTATTTCTCAACATTTTTTTTATTTTTGGCATGTGTTACAGTTTCTAAAAAATTACTCATTTGCCATATAGATGAACTATCTTTGCTTCTTTTTCTTTGCTGGCAATTGCTATATTTATGGTGAATTGGTATTTTGTATGAAAGTCAAAATACTGCTTTGTTTACATTTTTCTGCTTTTACGACGTCTTACTGCGAAATTTGCACTACTTTTGTCGGGTATTTAAACATTTAATATGCACTAAATCCATTATTAACACATAATTTAACACATGTTTTATATTCTTAAAGAATTATATAAATATGGATGTCTGAGGCATAATGTGCCTTTAATAAATGTTGTACCTGTATAGCCGTTAATCTTAGGCTTCAATCCGTATTTCGTCATGACGCTGTTTCCGAGGACCTCTGGTAGGAATTCACTGTACGTAATGTGTTGTATCATGGCAACGACTATACGTCTCGCCTCCTGGAATAGTTTCTCGTCGTCGCCTCTCCACGTGGGTTGCACGAGCGCTAGTTGCTTGGCAACTCGATTGTGCTCGCGCATCCATATGGTGTGCAAAGAAATCAGGGCGGGCTGCTGATTAACTCTTGGGTCACCTTCAATCGATACGAAACGATTTTAATTAACATTGTAAGTAAATTTACATGTAACTATTTAAAATTACAAAATTACGACTTTGAGGTTCACGTGACCGATTATGAGTATGCGTCGGGTCACATTTTATCGAACGTCACATTTTAATAATAATAATAATAAACACTATTTCACGAAGGAAAAATATTAAGAAATATATGTTTTATATACAGTATGGGCTTTAAATAAGCAAGGTGTAGAAATCCACAAATATGTACACACATATAAAATAATTACAAACAACAAACATTTCAATCGACAGACACATGCATTCATCACATTCATCTAAATTGTACATCAAGTAAATATTTTGTCATATAATCATTAATTATCATAAGGAATTGTATCCATCAATAATGTCACTTATAATGAAAACTTTTATAATTAATGTGTATAAAAAAACTGCACGTCATCGTTTACGTAACGTCTGTTTTGTAATTTGTTATCATTAACTAACAAGAATAATGACTATAAAACGTTTTAAAAAATGCAAATACAACACCAACGGCGTAAAAGTTGGATCTTACATAAACATCTATCAACCAATGTAAAAGTTGCACTTAACGAATTTGAAAAAAAAATGTGTTATTCTTCTTCTTCTTTTTTTGTATTATAAAATGTGAGTTATTAAGTGGAACAATCTTACCTGCCCGGAAACAAGGCCGTGACGCAACAGTTATGGTACATCCGGCGTTCGCGCCACTGTTCTGTGGTAATAAATCGTCTGCTGCACTTGTCTTCAGTAAACCTATATAAACAATTTTTAATATAATAGTGAACATACATAAAGTATATTAAAGAACATTAGATTTAACGATTTAATATCATTATGCTAAAGCTAACATAAGGTTAACCATCAGGCTAAAACTAAATAGGTAGATAAAGCAAACATTAAGTTAAACCTATTATTATGATAAATCAATTTAACATTATGCCTAAACACAATTAGTCAGTTGACCTTACCTTAAGCAAAAAACTAACATTATGCTAAATCTAACATAAGGTTGAATTTAACATTAGGCTAAAACTTAAATACGAAGCCAAAACTTACATTTAGCTTAAATCTACAATAAATTAAAGCCTTCATTAAGATTAAACTAACATTATGCTTAAGCTTACGCTAATATGAAACTTGGGGAGAATAGAGACAGCATATGAATTTTCTTTTTGGATATTATTTTGGAAAATATGACCATTCAAAACTTCAAAGGAAGATGTATCGTACCAAACACTACATACCTAAAGAAAACATTTCCGTCCTTAAAGGGAGACACAGGCAAAATTTTCATTTCTTAGTTTTGAATTGTTCATTCATTATTCTGTAAATATCCTCAAAACGAATACACAAGGCAGTCAAAGGAACAAAACTTTTCTCCATATAAAGAATAAAATTGTAGTTTCCTAACTTGACCCGCGTGGGTCAGGATAGAGCTCTAAGATTTCACAATAGTTGTCATAGTGAACTCTGGAAAGGTTAAAGATCATGCCAAAATGAATGACTTAGACTTGTTTCAATCATACAATAACCACAATATCTGTTATCGTAACTTCAAGGGTTTATTCAAGTCACATGACTTGTTTTATAAGTATTCGGTGATTCTGTTGGCGTCTAAATTTCGTTCAACATACATAGATATATTTACACTTCAAACCCAAAATATGTAGAATTAATACTGAAATTCATGCTGGGACTTTTAAGAAATGTCAATTTAACGTGATTTGAGTACACAAGATCATTTTAATATTTTTGTCATTATTTTGCCTGAGTATCCCTTTAAGGTTCATTTATCTATCGTTTTTTTTTCAAAATATATTTTTTCAGCATTATGTATCGTTGACGGATTTGGAATTGAACAATAGCAGAAAGTTTGAGCTTACGTTAAGCTAAATCCAACATAAGGAAAAAGCTAACATATCAGACTATATCTAACATTATCTAAAACTAACATATGTCTGAGGCAAACATTAGGCTTAAACAAACAATTGACTTAAGCTAACATTAGGCTAAAACTTACATTATGCTAAAGCTAACATAAGGTTAACCATTAGGCTAAAACTAAATAGGTAGATAAAACAAACTTTAAGTTAAAACTTTTACTATGATAAATCAATTTAACATTATGCTTAAACACAATCAGTCAGCTAAATCTTACCTTAAGCAAAAACTAACATTATGCTCAAGCTAACATAAGGTTGAATTTAACATTAGACTAAAACTTTAATACGCAGCCAAAACTAACAGTAAGCTAAAATTAACATTTAGCTAAAACCTTCATTAAGATTAAACTAACATTATGCTAAAGTTGACGCTAATATTAAAGCTAAGCTTACACTGGTCTTAAGATAAAATTTTGCTTTAGTTATACTTATCAAATTAGAAACTAACTGGGGCAAGTGCTAAACAAGACAAGGTGATAAATTATTTTCATTTGATCGATGAATAAACATGTTTACGTAACTTCAAATTTCAGAAAAAACGTGAAGAAGAATGAATTATTTAAAAAGGAAGTACGCCTTCACCATATCTAAGATGTGTCTAATTAGTAGCCCTCTGCATGTTACGCAACAATCAATTATTTTAATTTATTTCTTTGAAATTCTACATGTTTTCCCATCAGTCATAAAAAATGCACTATCCTACCTCCTGTAAACGTGCGTAGGCCGTCCGATGTGGCCTTGTCCGATCCATACACAAGCGATCCATCTAAAAAGTGGGTGTTCTGGTTTAGTTGTTCCCGCACTCCTGTGAATACAAATGAGAAAATATTGGTGTTCTGTACCGAAATAATTCGAATTCTGACAAAAAGGCATTCTTATATCTTCTCCGTACTTAACCAAGTTAGAATCTGATACAAAAGTGCTGAACCGTTTTTGTGGGCCTTTTTGTCAGACAAGTCAGATGTTTGATACACACTATGAGTGTTCATTGTCTGTTTTTGGTTTTACGGCTCACCAACACAGTTTAGGCCATATGACGGCAACTTTGGCTAACTGGCTAACCTCAGGTGTTACAATCTTCAGAGCAACAATAGGGGTCAAAGCAACCTTATATAGAATCCAGTTATTCAAACCAATTAATTCATCTGTTACGATCAAGCAACCGTGGCCCTCAGTAAGGGGGCAGACGTATCGATGGAGCAAGACCTCTACTGAACCCATGCACCATTTTGAATAGTAAAAACACATAGGGGAAAAAACAAGAAGAAAGTCTCCTTCGGAATTTCAAGCAACTGGCGGCAAATAAAATGATTTGAAACCAAAACTTTCACCAAGTCTCGTTGTTTCAAATTAAGTATTTCTTTATTTGATGATTGGTCTAATAAATCTATATTTAATTCAGAGCGTAATGATTTACATTTAGATGCAGTTTACTTCATCAAGATATAATTTATTCCGGTTAAAAGCGAAGAAAAAGGTTATTAACACATGCAAATAACACACTTGTGGGTTGCATGATGTTTTAAAAAATGATGGATATTAACAAAGTACTATGAAATATGTCAACGCCACCACATTTCTTTGATGTAAAATTGATGCATGCGTTTGCTGCATCAATTAAAAGAACAAACTTAAGTACTACTGACCTATTTTTCTTCAATTTAAGGATGAAAGTAACGCGACGCTATGAGTAGTTACAATTTGGGACTAAAATCAATTCCACACTATTGCCCTTCAGAAAATACTGAATTTTATGATTGCACGTTAAAGAAATATTCAATGTGACATAATTACGTTTTTCTTCAGAAATAAAAATGTGGAGAACATTCAACTAATTGTAGAATATCTAGATCGTAAAACTGTGACTGCAATAATTAGCTATTTTTAAAAAAGTAGGACTTTCCGTATATGCCACTAAATATGTCCAAATTGCAAAGGTTTGAGCACGAGGGGAGCCTTTACCATGGCTTTTACAATCCAATGCGCAAACTTACTGCTATATCCGGTTATATGGACTGTTGATACAATTAGCTGGTGCCCATTTTATATGATTGAAAGCGCTATAGGTTATATAACCCAATACAGGGCTTAATTTCTAATTAATAGTACTGCACAAAATATTTCAAGGGGAAAAATATAATAAAAGATATCCATAAATAAGAAGCCGGGTGTATAGATACATGTATTTCAAAATCACGATTCTTCAATGAAAAACGATGTTATAAAGCTATATTCAGTATTATACGTTTGTTAAGTCGGTTTTCATTGGACGATTGTTATAGTTATTTTTAACTGAAGCAATTATGCAGTTCTATAAATCCATATAAAGAGTTTTGACCACCAGCTCGCATTATACACAGGGCCATACGATTCCAGAATCTTTATACTGTAATAAAAACACTTTTTAACACATCTTTTCAACCTACCTAGAATGCAGTCTAAATTCGGTGTTGGTAAGGATCGAACCAGATTCAAACATGTCCGATTAGTAAAGAATGGATCGCCTGGGGGAATCTGTATTGGGAAACACGACTGCCTAGAAACATAACAGAAATTAACAATAAAAACTTGACAGAGAAAAAATGAAAGAAAATACTGATTTAATAAAGAAGGACGTTTACAAGAAAGTGGCCTAAATGCTTTTGAGTACAAGAAGTTGAAACACTTCAACAATCAAGATTAAGTAAGTGTTTGCACACAAAACAAATTAACAATATAATTATAATTCATCAGAGCACCAGTTTTATTGTTACTAAATTGCAAAAAATGAGTTCATTAGGTATGCAAATTACTTCGATGTCGTTAAATGTTAAATAAAATATCAATGACCAAATACTTAGAAATGCAGTGTCTTACTGCTTATAGGATGTATGCCTTTCAAGTCTGGCATCGAAGGTTCGAGCCAAGTTTCCTCATATGACACCAGTGCCGGTTGATTCTAAGAAGCGGACTCGAAATAGAGGTTCAATTTAGTTAAATAACTTTTTTTCACCAAACAATTTTCAAACATTACTGATTGGTTCGAAGAAACGGACTCGAAATTGTTTTTGTGTTTGTTTGTTTGATTTGGATTTACGTCACACCGACACAGTATAGGTCATATGGCGTCGTTCCAGCTTTACTGGTGGAGGAAGACCTCAGGTGCCCTTCCGTGCATTATTTCAGGCACGAACGTGTACCTGAGTAGAAATTGGTTTAATTAAGATACTAACTTAATAAATAATGCTGAAACTAAAGCTAACAATACCTGTTTGGTCTCTCGCAGCAGTTCAAGTTTGAGCCTCTGTATCCTGTTACAATGAAACAAACAAATAATCAAAATACTATGGAACGCAATAACTGTCAAAATTCTTCTATCGAAGTGTCACCTTGACTGAATAAAATAAATTTTAAAACTGTTTTTTCTTTTCATTTTTTTTGTTGTTGTTGTTTTTTTGTTTTTTTTTTTATTTTCAATGTAACTTTGTTTATGCATTTTTGAATCCCATTGATTAATTATTCAGCGTGAATAATGTGACGTTTGGTTGCTAATTTATTACAAACGAAGTATTTACATTTAAAAATAATGTACGTAAAATGTAATTATTCATAATTAATAATTAAGGAGGAAAGTAAAAGCGTTTTTTTACGATCAGTTTCTTAGTGCAAAGTTTATAATCTAATTTTAATAAAATTTTATTCAAATGTAATGAAATTAACCTACAACTAAGACAACCTAGCAAGAACTATGTCTGTCTGTTTGAATGAATGAATGAATGAATGAATGAATGAAAGAAAGAAAGAATGAATGAATGAATGAATGAATAAATAAGAATGAATGAATGAATAAAAGAATTAATCAATGAATGAATGAATGAAAAAATGAATGAATGAATGAATGAATAAATGAATAAATAAATAGATAAATAAATAAATGCTCATTTCAAAATGATCAGTTAAAATATTTATATCAACGAATCAGTGTAACAATTATGACTAAACTTTACACTTTACCAAGGACGCCATATGTCATACAATGATGGCAATCTCATAACTTCGGGCATTTCCGTCAAATTCCATATAATGGATTCGGACGGAAATAATCGAAGTGTAGCGATATCATTATGCAAAATGACAATAATCAATCTTGAAGTCGCAAAACTTCGGGCATTTCCGTCAAATTCCGTATAATGGATACAGACGGTAATTAGCGAGGTGTACCAATATTATTATGCAAAATGACAATAATCAATCTTGAATGAATGATATATTTACCTTGAGATAAAGCATTAAACTGAATATCGTGACTAACAAACTGTCCAAATTCCATTGCAAAATGACTAAGTTGTTTGTCTTCGACCGACAAGGACGTATGGAAATCTCGGCTGATTTTCCGTGCATTTGGCAGCGGACCTCCATTAACACTTCGTGTTCGTGGTGACGATATTCCTGTTATTGTAGAATTCGAAATTTGAATAAAATAAAAAGATGATATTCAAGTTTTTTTTCCTATAAAAGCACCGAGTGGTATGAAAAAAAAAACATGTTATATTCCATGAGTGGCGGTAATAATTTTTAAACCAAAAAGATGAAAATAATTCCTGTATCTATAGAAAAAACTTGAATTTCCTGTCTATTATATACATTTTTCGCTATTTTGACAATACAATTTGAGAGACTTCCCATTAAATTTTGTGTTTTGACTGAATTAAGAAGAAAGAAGTTCGTTAAGACACCAGTGAAAATACGAAAAGTATGTTTCACTGCAGTGAAAAATAAGTTTTACAGTGAAAATACGGAAACAGAAAATACGCATTTTATTTCCTCAACATTTCTCAGTCTTTCAATTGTTAGTATATATTTAAGAAATTTTAAATTTTTCAAGGCGCACTTCAGTACTTTTCAACTGAGCGTGGTATTCAAATGAGCCGCGTCACGACAAAACTTACATAGTGCGTTTGCGACCAGCATGGATCCAGACCAGCCTGCGCATCCGCGCAGTCTGATCAGGATCCATGCTGTTCGCTTACAAACCCTATTACAAGTAGAGAAACTGATAGCGAACAGCATGGATTCTGATCAGACTGCGCGGATGTGCAGGCTGGTCTGGATCCATGCTGGTCGCAAACTCATTATGTTGGTTTTGTCATGACGCGGCTCAAATGATCATTGATGTACATTTCTTTCAAAATTTTATTCAAGTTTGCGTAATTTTAGTCATACACATAAAGGTTCGCCAAAATAAAAGCAAATAAGATGTGTAAATATATAATAAATGTTTAATATCGCCTATGAAACAAAACATATTGAAATGGAGAAATAAATAGAATTTTTAATTTTATTGCTAGCTACGCAAAAGCAACGAGGTTTTACGGCTATTACTCACAATAAAAAGAAAATGCTAATAACTTTTAAAGACTGTTTCCAAAACTCTCAAGAGATAACCAGTAAATGTATTTACCATCAGCATAATCTGGTGTTAAACTTCTTTCAAAGGGAGTCAACGACTTGCCCCACAAAGAGTTACGCACGTTATTGCACGTGCCATCTATGGACCGGTATTTGGCACGTTCGTCACAAGTTGGCCAAGGTTTACGGAACGGACATCTAAAAGGACGGGGCATGATAGTGAAATCAGGCTCAATTCTGGCGCCTGCAAACTGCGAGGAAATATCTCCACTCGGAACATTTAATCTGAAAGAATATTATACATTTTCTTATCATTACTTTATTTTATCTTAAAAACATCATTTGACAGTTCACAATATATAAAAATAGTTATCATTCCTTTTTTTTTTTACTTTACCCACTGTACATATTTCGTACGTACTACGTTACCAACGCTATATATTTTGTACATACTACGTTACCCACGGCACATATTCCGTTTATACTACGTTACCATCGGTACATATTCCGTACACACTACGTTACCTACGGTATATATTCCGTACATACTACGTTACCTACGGTATATATTCCGTACATACTACGTTACCTACGGTACATATACCGTACATACTACGTTACCTACGGTATATATTCAGTACATACTACGTTACCTACGGTATATATTCCGTACAAACTACGTTACCTAACGTATATATTCAGTACATACTACGTTACCTACGGTATATATTCCGTACAAACTACGTTACATAAGGTATATATTCAGTACATACTAAGTTACCTTAGGTATATACTCAGTACATACTACGTTACCTACGGTACATATTCCGTACATACTACGTTACCTAAGGTATATATTCAGTACATACTACGTTACCTAAGATATATATTCAGTACATACTACGTTACCTAAGGTATATATTCCGTACATACTACGTTACCTACGGTATATTGTCCGTAAATACTACATTGCCTTTATAGTATGTACGGAATATATACCGTGGAAAACCGACGCTGACTTAATAAATAACAGATTAAAAGCACTCGTAGACGCTTACCTTTTAGCTGTTGAAGATGCTGTTTCAAGAAACGCTTGTCCGGCCTGTCCAATATCCAGAGCAGCCGACTGAGTTAAATGCTGAGGACCGAACGCATCAGTGGTGTCTACGGAAACCCGATCGACACCTGGAAGTTCGATAAAAAGCTGCTACTATTTGTTTTATGAATTCAAAATTTTCAGCTCTTCCAAGCTATCAATTTAAGCCTCACGTGAATGAATAAAAGGTCACGTGACAGCAAGGAATAAGATAATATATGTCAAGGAAATAAAATATATATTTTGTTATCTTATATGATGTTATTATTTTAATAACCTTTTAAATTATAATAACTGAATAGGTAGTCACGTGATGACTTTGAATGTTACAATGCTTTGCACATATTTAATAACGAGAATAAATTAAACATTTTCTTAATCTACGTATGGATTAAGTATTTATTTTAGTTCTTAAAGTTTTCTAAAAGAAATACATAAACAAGACGACCGGCCAATACCTGCTTCGAAAGCTGTTCTATCAAGCGCTGTTTTTGAGGAAATTGAAGTCTGGATTTCTGGAATAGCTCGACTGACAGCGTCAGAGAATGTTCTTGCTGATATACTGCTACTTGATAAGACTGACGACGGGGATTCTCTCATTGCTACAAAGTCCCGTAAATTTGATACCCCAGCAAAGCGGTTTGGTTGTGCTGATGCCCGCCATGCCACTATTAATAGGCATGACAGTGTCACTGTTATATATCTAGAGGAATTAGAAATGAAGAAATATAATAGGGAAACCATTTAAAATTTAATGTAAATATTAAAAACCCATCAAGTCTGTAGATGATATTTTTTTTTTCAAAAGTTTTTTTTTTATAATAATGATTTAGCTAGTACATATATGTTCTAAAATCATCATTACAATAATTTGCCCTTTGCAAAAGAAGGAAAGAAATTCATCCCTTAGGCATAGTGTGCCTTTAAAGTTTGTGACACAGGCATAACATATAAAAACAAAGCAACAATATAAATGGATTTTTTTTTAGAGAAGTTCCGTTCTATATTCATTTATAATTCATTTGTATTGAAGTATTCAATTACAGAAACGTTTTTGCAAAAACCTTCATAGACACTATATTAAGATATGATTAAAATATCTTTCGGTTATGATTAAAACGATACATTTTTAAAAATATCTAAAGTAGATTTTGCCAGTCATAGTTTAACATTTTTAATTTAATTATTTACATATTAAGTAAGTGAATGATTATTCTTTTTTGTTAATGACAAATATTTTCTATTTCCGTGGAATTTATTTTTTTATAACTTTTTTTTATTATTTCTAGTGTTTACACGATAACTTTATGAAATACTATATAAACAAGAAAGAAAAACAAAGTTTGAATAATTTTGTTTACCTTATCGCATAATTCATCAAACAAAATAATGCAGTCACGTAATTTTAATTTGTTTATAAACAGATAAGTTTAGCAAATACAATTCATGAAATCAAAGAGGAAATAACAAACAGAACAAAACAAAACAAACAACAACAAACAAACAAATAAAAAACAAAGGAATCTCGAAACAACCTGATAAATTTTATATAACCTCAACAAAGACTATTAATATGTCCATATGTCAAAAATTATTACCAATTACTTGCCGTGAAACCTCATGATTTTTAAATGATTTCAAAATAGTTTCGCTAGGTTAAAAAATAAAACTGATACTGTATACATATAGACCCATATGGTGACTTTTAAGCTTTTGTATCCTGAATAGAGACACTTAGTTACCCTCCGCTGATTGCTTTGGGCGTACCCGAATGGAATCACCGACTTCCGTAGATGTCCGTCAGCTGAGTGATAAAATGGAGAAAAACCGGGATCCCTTAAGAAAGCCCAACAAGGCAAAATTGAAAATATTGCAGGCGCGGTTTGAATGAGTCTGTTCATGGACGGTACTGGAAAGTGCAAGTTACCGTCCACGCCCACTAGCACCGGCTTAAGCAGAATTCAACATTTAAACACGATAATGATGAAATTTTGAATTAAGAAACATCCATAGATGTTCGGTTTTCATGGAACCTTTAATTCAAGAAACGATAGGCTTGAACACCATTCTGTCAATGACAAATACCCATTTGTATGATATATGTTTTTAAGGACACCACCGGAAACATATATAGTCAACTAACTCAAAATATTGTCAGAACGTGCAACGAATATAGAAATACAGTCAAACCTGTGGTAAAGACCATCTTTGAGTAAAGACTACCCACTCTTCGACAACTCTTCATTGATAAAACAAAGAGCAAAGTGACCTCTCCAAACAAAGCTCACTTGTCTATAAAAAGGCCATGTTTGGTCTATATCTTGGATGAACTTTGTTTTCAGGTTTGACTGTAGATACGTTCTAAGAGAAACAACAACGTTCCTTATGTTTATGGTGTTAAGCAACTTAGCAGGGATATAAAACTTTAAAGTATCAACCCCAAACTTGTTAGTATTTTAAGTTATCAGTTATCACCCATAATAATCAAATCTACAAATGAGAGATTATGAAATTATTTACTACTGTATTTATTGTTGTTGGTCCGATAATTTTAACTATCTTATTAATACGTTTTTTAAATCTTACTCAAACAGATGTTACTTTTTGTTAACATTTCACATTTCACATGATTAAAACATCCATAAAACACACGCAGTGAAATTCATGAATAATTTAAAAAAAAACTTATTTCCAGTTAAGGTAACTTACACAATTTTTACAGTAAATTTGACAGCATTTTTGTATCTGTCAAACGGTTTTGTGAAATAATCCGTAATTTTAAACATACAAAAATTCAGGTTAAATAACACAAGTTTTTCGTATTAATAAAAATCCGTAACACTTACCTTTCGCCCATATTTTGTTATTAACTTTGTTGTTTACAAGACAAAACATTTATATACTTTTCCAAACAGGATTTGGCCAAATTTAACAGCTAGGATTTGTTAATATGAGCAAAAAACATATTTATTTACGTCATGCGGAAACCAAAATATTAATTACATTTTCGTCGAACTCATTAAACAAGATGCAATATATTTATAACATACATTTACACTTGTACATAAAGACCATTCATGTTCATATATTGGACGGTGTTGTAAGGTGGTTTTTAAGGACAAGGTAACACATGCACCAGATTCCTAGTCATTCAAAAAGAATAAAAACTTGATAAGAAGTAACAGAGTATTTTATGTGATATATAGTGTTGCTCTATTTTAATACATGTACAAAATGTGAATAAATTTGTGGCTTAATATTTATTTTCTTCTCGTACGTGTGTACGTTTTTATAAAAAAAGTAATAACATTTGCGTAAGTTAATTAGCATTATGATATTAACTTTCATGTGCACATGAGAAACTATTACGTGTACACCTAATTATTAATTATCAGGAATAACGTGGTAACTAAAACGTACGCACGTCATATTAATTTTTTCGACATGTTTTCTGTATAAACGTATCGATCCTATCCGATCTTAAAATGAAAAAGATCGAAATATTGAAAGGTTTCAAATGGACAATTATATAATATAAACTCGGATATCAGATGTGCCACATGTGCACAAACTATCATAAATAGATACATGTAGATATACAGCATGTGAAAGAATTTAATAAAGTAAACGACAATACACTGATGGTTGTGCATATATTTCAATAAATATGTTCATGGTTAGCTTGTGGATTTACAAACCACTGACGAATAAATATCACTGTTTAAATAAAAGCCATCATCGAACAGCCTTTCATTGAGTAATTATAAGTATAATTAGCAGAAACCATGCTGATATTTAAGGCTCCTGTCTGCTTGGCCTTTGAGCTAGTGACTCAAAAATCAATAAGAATCTTCTACTTGTTATGACAAATCAGGATGTGGAATATGAAGGCTTTGTAATAAATGGACTACAAGATAATGAGCGGAAACCACTTTGACATTTAAGTCTTCTTTGACCTTGACCTTTGGCCTAGTGACTCTAAAATCAATAAGGTCATCTTCTAGTTATGACCAATTAGTATATGAAATATGAAAACTTTATGGTAAAAAGTTTAAAGAAATGAGTGGATACCATTCTGACATTCAAGGACCCTGTGACTTTGACCTTTAAACAAGTGACTCCCAAATCAATAGGAGTCGACGGAAAGACGGACAGACCGACGGACAGACAGACAGACAGACAGAACGACCGACATTAGCAAAACCATATACCCTTTGTTCTTCGAAGAGAATCATAAAACAAAATAAAATACAGGCAAGTCGTGGTCATTTGAACAAGTGTTACCTTATAATCTAATAATTGAAATATAAATGACACTACATTGCATTTCTGAATTAACAATGTCATGTTATGATGTTGTTGTAAAGTGAAATGAAACCGGTGTTTAACCGGATGCAAACTGGCCTATATGTTTAAACTGTTTTAATTATTGGAATACGTGACATAACCTTTACGTTAACAACATGCCTGCAACATAGATGTAATACTGGATATTCTTTTTAGGGCGTTTTTCATTTAGCTATTTGCATACTTCAGGTTTGTATCTAAAATAACGCAGCAGCAGCAGCAGCAGCAGCAGAAGAAGCAGCAGCAACAACAATAACATCATCATCATTAACAACAACAACAACAACAACAACAATTAATATCAAAATATAATATTAAAGCAGAAGCAAATGAATGAATGAATGAATGAATAAATGAATGAATGAATGAATGAATGAATGAATGAATGAATGAATGAATGAATGAATGAATGAATGAATGGATGGATGGATGGATGATGGATGGATGGATGGATGGATGGATGAATGAATGAATGAATGAATGAATGAATGAATGAATGAATGAATGAATGAATGAATGAATGAATGAATGAATGAATGAATGAATGAATGAATGAATGAATGAATGAATGAATAGTTTTCATGGCAGGACTGGCTCGATTCTGATGATAAAAATTTTAAATCGTCATGACAGACAAAATTCTGAAACTACGTTTAATGTCATTTTTCGTTTACATGTTTGTGTTTCGTTCCTTTTTTATCTTATTTTCATACGAATCATCATTTTCAATCTTATAAATATACAAAAATCAACATGAAACAACCGATCAAATTATGTCGATAGTTTCATCACGTGACCAGGTGTCTTCTCTTCGTAGACGTGCAAATTGGCTGAAGGTTCCGAAGACAATAATTTATTCATAATCTTCGCCTAACTTGAACTCAATTAGTATAGGTAAGTACTAAACTATGGTGGCTGATTTGTACCATGTCGCATTTTCGCTTTTTCGCCATAAAATGTGAAAATTAAATGAAAAATTCACAGTGAAACTTTGTTTTTCGCATTTTCGCGATGAATAAAATCTAAACACACTCAAAAAAAAAAATAAAAAAAAAAAAAATTCGACATGGCGTAAATTAGCCACCATACTTAACAGGAAGCTATAAACGATATTAGAAAAGATTTACATATTTTAATTGTATACAAATGATATATAAATTACAAAAACATCATAAAAACTTCCGTGATATTTCCGCGGAGAACTTGTTTTATAGATTTGAAAGAAATTGTAAAAGATAAAGAAGTGTCATTTCGTTACTTTGCAATCATGTTACAGTATCTTGTTTCATGGGCAGATCTTTAGTAATCTTTTCTTTATAAATAATTTTTGTTTCTGACTAATGTATGTTGACGACGTACATTAAATAGCCAATGATCATGATTATTTTTTCATTGATATAATGTTCGTTCACGGATGTACTGAATACAAATAAATTATTCTTATCTTTTAAACCATTTCATTTCCTAGTTGTTTAAAATATATTTTGTTTATATTTAATTTGTTAAATCGCTTCATCTTAAGATTTCATTAAAACTGTATGCCTCCATATAATTGAAGGTAGTCAAACTTGAGAAAAATGTACAAAGAATTTAAGAAAAAGTACATGTATAAAGCTTCTAGTAATTATTTCCATGTTTGTACGCTTAATGACTGCTTTTGCATTATTTATCAACATATTTCTACTGCGTGACTTGCGCAATTAGGGCTATCGATGCATATTTTAACATCTTTTTCTGTAATTAACGTGGATTGCAAGTGCCGTTTGCAATTTATAACTTACTTTCATTGTTTACTTCACAATATTTTACTTTTAAATTCATTTTCAAATTTTTAATGAAAAAATACCATGAATCTCGAGGCACTGTGCTTTAAATGTTCAACACTGTTTCAAATAAATCAACGTTTTCCGCTTTTGATTTGCGGATCTTTTGATCTTTATAGCTTCAAAAACGTCTAAATAATGTGAAATAAAAGTGAAAACTTCCTGTTGCATTGAAAATGAAAACTTGGAAAATTCGTAATTGTTTGGGTTAAAAATCAAATAATATTGAAGATTCATAAAAAAACACGAAATTTCTGTTAATGTAAAAAAAATAAGATGTAAAAGAAATGATAACAACAGCATATAAAAATGTTTGTTTTTGTTGCCAAAATACTTATCAAATTAGTTAAAAATATTATAAGATATTTTTCGAATTGAAATTATCCTAAAACAATAATCGAGGAGGCGTTTTCAGAAAAATCAAAATGATGCTCTCATTCCTATTTAGACAGGACTGATTTTAAGAAAATATGAATGCTAGAGGCATTTTATAGTACAAGTAATATCTTGAGTGTTTTAACCTAATATGGGTATGCTGAAGACGATGAGGGTGGGTACCAAGAAAATAAAATTGACCTTGAACTACAAAAGGTGTTTTCAATTCATATATAGTCGAAGTGAACTCATATATTATCCAAATGGTTAAATAAATTTAAAAAGAACAATATCAGACAGCCATGGCTTTCCACATTTATAACTGCATTCAGGTATACGATGGATAATCGATAATATTAAAAAGTCATCTTAAACTTAGAAGTGTATACTTTATCACATTCTTAACAAACATACAGAAAACAACAAATGTTTACCATCTTGTTTAAAAATAAGTGACTATTTAATTTGAAATTTAAAGTTAAAGTTAAAGAAGATTATCACATCATTCCGGGTACCCTCCAATAAATTTTCAGGATATTTTAAAGTAACAGCAAAGTTATCTATAAAAATATTACTTGTTATAAATCGAGTAATATTTTCTTTGACCATATATAAAAGTCACGTGGGTTGGCTACATAGTAAAGGTGTTAAAATATAATTGTATAACACCCTTTGTTAGCCATTGAAATAGTATTTAATGTATAAAGGATTTTCAAAAATGGTTATTATTCAGAGCGGGCGCTATGGTGCAGTGGTAACACTGTCTGCCTACAAATCAAGGGGTCGTGAGTTCGATCCCCCGCTACTCCACTGAACGAATAAATGACTACAAGACTGACAAAACCAGGACTTAGACACAGAATGACGGCAACGATAGAAACAAGAGAAGACCTTAACGGAACAGGAAACAAATACCGAAAGTACAAGACCGAAGACAACGACAGAAAGAAGAACGGAGACAAGAACTGACAACAAGCGAACAGAGACGAGGACTGCTAACAGAAGAACAGAGACAGGGACTGATAACAGAAAAACTGACAACAAGCGAACACAGACGTCCACCGATAACAGAAGAACAGAGACAGGAACCTATAAAAAAGTACTGACAACAAGCAAACAGAGAAAAGGACCGATAACAGAAGAACAGACAGGAACCGATAACAACAGAACTGACAACAAGCTAACAAAGACAGCGACCGATAACAGAACAGCAGACAACAACACAACGGAAATGAGGATTGATAACAGAAGAACAGGACAACAAGACAATGGAGACTGGAATCGATAACAGAGACGGGAACCGATGACAGAAGAATTGACAACAAGAAAACGGAGACCAGGACTGATTACAGAAGAAAAGAGACGATAACCGATAACAGAAGAACTGACAACAACCCAACGGAGACGACGACTGATGACAGAATAACAGAGAGGA